GTCTTTTGTCTTTTGTCTTTTGTCTTTTGTCTTTTTCCGTGTCCGGCAACGGATCGCAACCCTCAGTGTTGCCCCCGTACCGGACCGGGGACCGGCAACGGGATCGCAACCCTTGGTGTTGCTCCCGCACCTCGCTCAGCCAGTGAGCGGGAACCGGTCTGTACGTGGGATCCGAACCCTTGGGCGGGAGCGCTGCCGTGCTTCCCAAGCGGCGCACTATCCAGTGCGCCACCGGGCCGGCCCCTATTTAGAACTATTTGATGATGACAATTATATTGACCCCAGAGTGTCATTTTCATAAAATAAAAATAACGAATGTTCTTTATTAGGATAACAGAGTTGTGGGTGTTTTGGTTATTGTTTCAGAACAATGAAACTGAATGGCAATGCAATTTAACAAACTTGTCATCTCTGGACATGATGATGGACCAAGAAATGCTGCTGTCACTGAGAGAGCCTGAACAAAAGGGTGTGGAATTCACAGCTGTGCTTTGGAAGCTGGTATTACATGGCTTACATGTATAGCGGTGTTTCGTTTTGACTGGGAATATCTGCAGATAGCTGACATAGAGCCTGTTTGCTGAGTCCAAATATATCTCTGTGTTGTTCAGACCCAAATTAATCCTACTATGAAAAGACAAGACTTTTCTTAACCTTTCTAAAGTTGATCTTCTAACTGTGGGTCAACTGGGACTAATAGATTGATGACTAGATATGGATTTCTTGAGCTTTTTTTTTTGTTTCCTGTGGGTTAGTCATAGTAGCACAAGACTGAAGACGTATCTATTGCACAGTTACCTTCTTGCTAATGACTATTATCTCTTCCTCCGTTTTTTTCACTGGAAACTCTAGATGGTTAGAGAAATCAGAGAATAACATCTGCATGTGAATATTTCCAGTCCCTCTCACAGTGCCTAGAATATAGGTAGCATTTAGTATGACGAATGATAAAAATCAGTGAAAATGCTGTTTCCATCTATTTGAAAGGGGAATTAAAATGGGTAGATTTTATTCTGGAAAATGATTCTATCTGTATATACTCAGCATGTAGGGAGCGCCTAATGACAGCATGTACACGTGGCAATACCACAGGAGAAAGGAAAGTCACTTGGGGGGGGGCGGGTATTAGATGAGAAGGAACTCTGTTATCTTCTTGAATTACCTACCTAGTAGAACTTTGGTCCAAACTAATTCTTATTGTACAATAACATATGCCATAGCAGTGAGTGTTATTGAGATGGCAACGTCCACAGCATTTTCCGTTGCCTCTGTCATTTGTTTATACTTAACATTGGAGAACGGGAGTTTATTTTGTGACTTTTTTTATATAGGAATTCAAACATATCATGGAAGAGAAGCTCAATCTTTTCATAATAATGCTGAACAGCTTGGAAAACCACAGAGAATCTCTTGATAAAGAGTTTGTCAAATTAATAGAGATTTTGAAGAGATGTAGGCTGGAATATTTTGGTTTCAGAGAAGAACTTCTTTCCAGGTGACGATCATTTTTTAAATAAGAAACTCATGATTTTATATACATGACATGCTTATGATTGTGCCACGACATTCGGTTTACTTTTTATAAGTTGTATGTGTTGATTTCATATGACACTTTTTCAGAGAAGACATTCTGCTTGACAATTCTGAATTGTGAAATTGACTTATATGTTCAAAATTGCAAATAGTGAACTTTGAAATCTGTGGAAAGCAGTATAATGAGTTATTTTTCCCTAGAGAAGGAATTGGAATTATGGAATATAGAATTCTTTTAGACAGAAGGAGCCTCAAAGATCCTTTAGTAATCTCGTAATTTTACAGAGGACTGAGGCATAAAGTGGTAAAGTGAGCTGATCGAGGCCCAAGAGTTATTAATGGAAGATCTAGAACTTGAAGCCAGGCCTGTTGACTCCTATCCCATTGGGCCGTATGTCCCACTTCAGTATACAGTGCACCATTGGGCATAGTCACCTAAATTTCACTTAAATGAAGTCATAGGGAATAGAGGATAAATGTAAAATAACTTGCCATCTTATCCCTCCTCTAACCTCAATTCTTATGATTATGGGGAAATTGAAATTTTTGCGCTCTGTAAACCACATACTAAACAAGGATAGCAGTCATATCTTTTGTTGACCACTATTTATATAGCTGCTAGTACCATATTTAGCACTCATTTAAGAAATGTTTTTTGAATAAATAAATGAATGGGGGTAAATACTGAACTTGAAAACAAAGTAAAAAAAAGAAAATGTAGTTAGAGACTAAGGTAAGCTTAGGCAAAATGGCCAGAAGAAACTATTTTATTTCCCCAAATATAAGGAAACTAGATACCAGAAAGAGGTTAATACCAGAAGGAAGTATCAAGAGAATGAACTTCTGCTTTCCCTAAGAAGCGTGGAGCCCAGACTTCCTCATAGTGGTAAAAGGCGTGGGTTGATGGATACGCAGCTTCTGTACACAGATTCCGTCTCCTCAAAAGTGAGCATTGAAATTCTACTTAGCACCAAAGAACTATTTTGAGAGAGGCCTGCTCTAGGAAGTATCTCTGAGTGTGTGAATCTTCTGTATTACCCTACCAGACACACCAGCAGCCCAGTTAAATAATAGATTTCATTTGTCTAGAAGTTACTGTGTCAGATGTAGTGCTCGGAATTTGGTATGTATTTATCTCCGGAAAGGTTCAGTAACTTGCCCAAACTTACCCAGCTGGGATTAAGTAATAAGCAAGATTCAGATCTTGATATATCTGACTTCAAAGCCTATGCTCTATCAGCTACTAATCTCCCACCATCGACTTGTTAAAATGATACAATACTTACTAAAAATTTATTTTTTAGGGCCGAGCCCGTGGCGCACTGGGTAGAGTGCAGCGCTGGGAGCTCAGCGACGCTCCTGCTGCGGGTTCGGATCCTATATAGGAATGGCCGGTGCGCTCACTGGCTGAGCACGGTGCTGATGACACCACACCAAGGGTTGCGATCCCCTTACCCGTCACGAAAAAGACAAAAAAAAAAATTTATTTTTTATATTTATTCTGGGAACATAGCATTGGACATAATTCTCCTTAACCAACAGAAGAATGCTTTAGCCCCTGCCTTCTGGAAATAATTTAAAACGGACAAAACCATATAGAGGCTACACACAAAATGATTTGACTACAGATTTTAACTATGAATAAGAAGGTGGGTGGACTCATGATTCTGTGTGGTAAAAGAAAAAAAAAAGGAGTATTTTGTAGAGAGAATTCAATGTTTAGATGAGGTAGGAGGTGTGTTTAAAGGCAAAGTTTCAGGGGCTGTTTGAGGAAAAGAGGGCTTCCATTCCGTGGCAAGACAGGCTCCAGGGCTGAGAAGTGGAAAGGATCGTGTGGGTCAAGGAGAGGCAGTGAAGGAAAAAACTGCTTTTGGAGGGCTCAGTGAGAAGAGCAAGCGTGGTCCGAACAACACTCATCGGAGTGTCTTTTATTTTATTTTATTTTTTTTGTCTTTTTGTCTTTTTTCGTGACTGGCAACGGATCACAACCCTCAGTGTTGCGCCCGTACCGGACCGGGACCGGCAACGGGATCGCAACCCTCGGTGTTGCCCCCGCTCCTCACTCAGCCAGTGAGCGGCTGGTCTGTATGTGGGATCCGAACCCTCGGCAGGAGCACCGCCGCGCTTCCCAAGCGGCGCACTGTAGCAGTGCGCCACCGGGCCGGCCCGGAGTGTCTATTTTTTGTTAGGCTTTTTCCCCTCCCCTAGATGCTAGGGAACTCCCTCGGCGGGAGCGCCGCCGCGCTTCCCAAGCGGCGCACTGTAGCAGTGCGCCACCCGGCCAGCCCGGAGTGTCTGTTTTTTGTTAGGCTTTTTCCCCTCCCCTAGATGCTAGGGAACTGTAGGAAAGAGAGAGAAATCAGTGCCTCGGTGAAACTAACATCGAGTAAGGGACACAAATAATGAACAAATAAACCTATAATTATATAATGTTAGGGAGTGGTCAGTGATATGGAGAAAATTAAAGCAGAATAAGTAGACGGAATGACAGGGACAGGAGGACCTACTTTTAGAAAGAATGGCCAGGAGAGGCCTGTCTGAGGAGTGATGAGTGGAGAGCTGAGTGAAGTGAGGGAGTGAGCTACGTGGTGATCTGGGACGTGTTCTAGGCAGAGAAAGTAGCTGGTGCAAAGGCCCTGAGGTTGCAATGAGCTTGGCAGGTTTGAACAGCAGCAAGAAGCCAGCATGGCTGGAGTGCAGTAAGTGTTAAGCAGTGGTAGGTGATGGGGCCAGAGGGATAGGAAACAGGTTGTACATAGCCTTGCAGTCCACGTTTAGGAGTTAGGATTTTATTCTGGGTGTGGTGGGAATCCATCACAGGGTTATGAGCAGAGAAGTGGTATGATCGGTGCTTCGAAAGATCTGCCAAGGTGGAGAATTATCTGTAGAGGGCAAGAGAGAAAGCAGTGAGACCACTGAGAAGGGATTTTTCAACAAGCGATCACCATTTAGAGATCCTGATATCAATTTGCTGGATTGTGACCTGTGTTTTTTTAAATAAATAAAATATAAAATATCAGAGTACATATAGTAAGAGTAAGTAGTGTTTAGTACAGTTTTTGTTTTAGGTGCACGTATGTGTGTGTACTAAATTGAAATATAAAATATTTACTAGGTCATGGTCAAAATGCCACAGAGTTAGTAGCTATTGCAGTAGTCCTAATAACGGGTATAGTATAGGTCAGGGCAATAGTTCTGAAGGTGGTAAGAAATGATTAGATTCAAACTGTATTTTGAGGGTAACTCAGATCTGATGTGCTAGTAGATTTGATGTGGGAAATATAAGAAAAGAGGAGTCATCTTTGACTTAGAGGTTTTGGGTCTGAAAACTAGGTAAATAGTGTGCTATTTAGATGGCAAAGTCTGGGAGTGATGCAGACTTGGCAGGGGTTGGAATAAAAGTCAAGATTTAGCATTAGGACATGTTAGCAAGGAGAGTTGTTTGCTTAAAAAACACACACCCAAAGCTAATATATATACCTCTAAACATGATAATGAAAACGTCTATGGGAGAAATATCATCAAAGGTTTGACATCTGTTGAATATCTTTAACAGATGGTACCATCTAATTTTTTAAAAAGCTATTTCTAAGACTTATGATTCCTAAAGTCCTTTAAAATTATTGTCTTGCAGGCAAAAATGCATATAAGTGTTTGAAAGTTTTAGTATTATCAAATGTTGATTTCTGATGGACCTTAAAGTCCTTTTGCTTTCTCTTTGAAAATAATGGACACTCTTGAGAGCTTAGGCTATTCCTGGAAAAGAGAAAAGTAGATAAAACTGATGTCTTAAAACATAGGAGGTGACATCAGCAAGATTGTAGAATAAGAGGCCATGACACTCCTTCTCCCCAAGGACACACTAATTCAATGACAATACATGGACAGATTCCCTTAATGAGAAATCTAGAAATGACTTGAGGCTACTGCACCCTGGATGAGCATGAAACCAGCCACATCAGGCTGGTAGGAAAATTCGATACCCTCATCATCACTAAGCTCAGCACAGTGACATATGATCAGAAGGAAACTCCCAGCTCCTAGCTTCTCCCTGGAGCAGAAGAGAGTTATACCCCATGTCCAACATTCCAACTCTCCTGGGGGCAGCCACGGGTACTGGCTTCTGTCTTACCTGTCTCAGAGAGCTGATGGGACCTGGCACACTCAAGATGCCTGGGGACCACGGAAACCAAAGAAAACAGTTTGAACTAGCATGTATGCACTTGCCAGAGCCCTTACCTCCTATTCGATACAAAGCAAGCAGGTGAAAAATCCCAGATCCCAGCTTTTCCCTAAGGAACAGAGGATGGGAAAGTTTGGCCATGCATCCAATATTTGAACCTTGGTGGGGGCTGCCCAGCAAATTGATTTTTGTCTTACCAGTCTCAGAGTACTAAAGGGACCCAGCATACTCTAGATGCCTGGGACCTGCTAAGAAGAAATATGTGGTTTGGACTAGCATGAATGTTTGAGAAGCCCCTAAAATCTCTGCCTGGGCTGGTTGAGGGTTTTCTCCTGTATGAGGCTAGTTTATACATACTGAGAGAGCTGACTGTTTTTTCTAACATGTAGATAAAAACATGAATCAAGGAAAATAAAATAGGGAAATGTTTCCCAAACAAAGGAACAAAATAAATTTCAAAAACTGACCATAATGAAACAGAGGTAAATTATTTACCTGACAGAGAATCCAATAAAGATGCTCAATGAGATCAGGAGAACAATGCATGGACAAACTGAAAATTTTAACAAAAACATAGAAAATACTAAAAAGTATCAAACAGAAATCTTGGAACTGAAGACTGCAATATTTGAGCTGAAAAATTTTCTAGAAAAGTTCAACGGCAGACTATATGAAGCAAAAGAAAAGATCAGTGAACTTGAAGACAAGTCATTGGAAATTTTCCAGTCAGAAGAGCAAAAAGAAAAAAGAATGAAAGAGTGAATAATGCTAAAGGACTT